ATTAGAAAGTGTCCAGACATTCTACTGCAGAACAAGCAGCCTATCCCATCCTCCCTAGGCAAATCTCCCTCAGATGCAAGACCAGGAGAGCCCAACCATTCAATGGTTTAGCATAATAATCTCTAGTAAGCTTTTGATTCAAAGTCATAAAAGTGATAATATGACCACCCCCACCTTTGGTCAAGGAATTTGTGAGTTGCAAATGTCTAACTGGTCTCTTGCAGGACCCCCACCCCCAGGGTTAACCTAATCAGCCATTTGTGACCCACCTTGGTAGCAATCATGTGACTAATCCACCCATCTACCTACTGTCCATCACCTGACATCAGTACCTGCATTTGTCTGCCCCTTTGTGATAACGTGGAAGCAGACCACAACCCAATCACCTAATGATCTCCCCATCAAGGGGAATGGTTAAAAGGACTCAACCACAAGCAACCAGCGGCCATTGCCTTGGTAGACTCTGGTGTGGCCATGTGCTCTTTGAGCCATGGCTATTGCCATGCTTCCTGGCTTTGGTCCCCCTCCCCCACCTTGGGGAGGTGAATCTTCTCTCTTCCTTCTCTTTTTCTCTCTAATTTACTTTTAAATAAACTTTTCTTTCTTAACCTTTTTGTGTGTCGCAGTTCTTTGCATTTACTCGAGTCTCTGGGTTCCCAGCGTGGCACCTCCGGCTTGCCATCCCTGGCGGTGCTGCGCCCCTTGCTCCATCCATTTTCCCTCACCCTGTCCAGTACCCTAACACATGTATATTGTATTTTTGATAATTTTGCTATTTTTTGCTGAAAGGTATTTTTTTGATATATAGAAGTTTTACTTCTTCTGTAGTTAGACCTATATTTCTTCTTCTGGTATCTGTCTTTGTGTACTTAGAAATGCCTTTTCTAGAGGTTATCTTGGGGTATGCTATGAGGAAAGGATCTAATTTTATTGTTATTTATTCAGATTCTCTAAGCAGCATCTGTTTCAATACTTCCTCCTTTTTTACTGATTTGAAATAGCCCATGAGGCCATCTCAGTGATTTCTACTGGTATACCTTGACAGCCTCACATAGCTTCTGCCCTTCCCCTTGTTCCAGCTGTGCACATTTCCAATACATCCTTCCTTCCTTCATTCTTTGTACATGTGATTCCTTGTGTCTGAACAGTTTCCCTACAGCACCTCTAAACTCACATGTATCTGGCTAACCTTTACTCATCCTTTAGGTCTCATTTGTTCAGGTGGCCTTCTTACCACTTCCAATTATGAAAGGCCTCATATCTCTTAGGATGACATACAATAAGAGAATTGTACCTCTTCTGGATCCCTCGTGCCTGACAGTACATACTGACCGAATGAATTATAGCCTTGTCATACGTTTTGACATCTGTAAGTTTGGCTGTGTTTGTCTTCCTTTTCCCTGAACTTTCTTTAGTATTCTAGATCTGCACTCTCCAGTTTGATAGTCACTGACCATATGAGGCTATTAAACACTTGAAATGGGGTTAGTCCAAACTGAGACATGCTGTGTGTAAAATATACATCAGATTTCAAAGACTTAGTATGAAAAAAATTAAAATGACTTACAATTTTCTAATATTGATTATATGCTGCAGTTATATATTGGGTTATATAAAATAATACAATTTTTTTTATTTTTAAAAAGTGTAACTACTAGAAAGTCTTAAATTACATATGTAGTGGCTTATGTCTCTATTGAACTGCAATGTTCTAGATGAATTTTAAAAACATTTTGTCAAGTTTCTAAGAAAATAGATCTATAAATTAATTTTGGTATTAAAGTGTCCATCTTTATAGTATTGAATCTTCCTGCCAGAAGCATTTATCTCTTCATGTATGCATGTTTTTGTTCTTATTAAGATAGTTTTATATGTTTCTTATTAACCCTGTTTTTTGTTTGTTCTTCCCCCCCATTCCTGATATTTTATAGTTCCTGTTTCTATGTTATTGGTTGCACCTTGTTATTACTATCTTGCCCTCCATTTATTAGATGCTGATTCTCACAGAATTTTCAAACGATTCTCTTGTTTTCTGTGTAAATAGCCTGAATATAATAGTAATTTTGTCTTCTCTTTTTTAATGGCCATATACCTCAATTTTCCTTTGTCTTGTTGCTTTGGCTAGAAGTTTCAGAACAATGTTAAGTAGTATTAGTAATGTTAGACAGCCTTTTATATCTTCCCAGGTGCTGGTGGGAATACCTTTACCAAAGTGTTTACCAGACACTAATTCTTTGGAATATTAATATGTGTACCTTGAGAGAAGAGTTCCACCATTAAATGAGTTTGTGAACTGTTGAGTTAAACAGAATTCTTGTCTTCAGGACTTTTTATTTGGGTTATTATGTTAGTGTACGTTTTAATCCCTAGAAGGGAAGGCTGTTGAGGGCTAGCTCTTGGGTTTGTGTTCTAAATACATTTTGGAAAATGCAGACAAGGTTTCTCTGTAAGGATGATGCTGCCATTGGTTTGCAGTAGATACTCTTTATTATTTTAAGAAAGTGTTGTTCTGTTTCTATCTTAATGAGTATTTTTGTTTTACTTTGAAAGGGCATTTAACTTTTGCATTTTTGGCATAGGATTGATTTGGTCATATAGATTTTTCTCCTTTTACTTATTGATGCCATGAATTATATTTGTCTGTTTCCTAATATGTGACCATACTTACGTTTATGAAGCAGCTATTCTTGGTCATAGCATGTTATTCTTTTAATAGTTGTATTTGCTAGTATTTCCTTTAGGTCTTTAAAATCTATTTACTTAGATGAAGTAGACAGTTTTCTTCTTTATGCTATTTGTCATCTTCTGGTATCAGATTTGTGCCATATGAACTGAGATACTTTAAATGTTTTTACATGCATCTAGAACAGTGTGAACGGCCTGAAGATCATTTGTGCCTTGGCACTTCTGTTTCTTACTTAGTTCTGCCAATTTATGTTACCCTGAAAATATGTTCATCCCATACAGATTTCAAATTGATTTCAATCATAAATCTGGAATAAATAAGGGCACAGTATTCCTCTATGACTAAAATGTTTTAACTCAAATTTTGGTGTGATAAAAAAAAATTCTGTTATGATCTAATTGCACTAACTGATCCTTTCCTGCAAGAGTCTTAGGTTTAGTTGCACATTGTCTTTCATTAAAATTTAAAAATTTTCTCTATGATTATGTGCTATTTTTCTGTACTAATATTTTCTTATGTGAGTTTAATTTGTTGTTCCTTTTCTGGCCTGAGTTGAGTCATTTCACTTATTTTTAATATTTATTATTTAATGATAACATTTAAGGCACTGATTTTCCCTCTTGCAGTTTTTTGTCATTTTTTCAAAACCCCCAACGCTTCATTACAAAAAATTTCAAACATATAGAAAACTTGAGAATAAATACCCAAGTACCCACCCAAGTAGACTCTACAGTTGTTAACATTTTACTATGTTTGCTTTATCACACATCTATCCATCTCTTTTTTGGAGATACATTCTCAAGTAAGTTGAAGATATAAGTAAACTTCATTCCTAAACTCTTCTTGCTGCAAATTTTATGTGAATTTTCTCATTTTTAAGTAGTTTTATTCCATTTTGATTTTTTTCTGATTCAATACTTACTAGAGGTGTTTAAATTTCTATTAGTTGGATTCTAAAATCTAAAATATACTTGTTAGATCTAGTTTTACTATGTTTGGGACAAAGTATGGATCCTGGGCTATACATACTTCAGTAGTTTTGAGCATTTCAGTGCTGCAGATTCTAGGCAAGAGGAAGGAAAGCTGTCCTAGGTGTGCCAGAGCTGTAAGCCCTAGTGGAGGCCAATGCATTTTTTGATGTGTTCATTACTCTTTTCAGTCCTACTATCTAAAATAACTCTCCACTAAAAGAGACTGAGCAATGTAAATCTATGAATTACCAACCCAAAAAGGATATAAAGGTGTGCAGAACTGAAGGGAAACAATGCAAATCAAGACAGTACTAAAAGAGTTTAGCTCCATTCATTGTATCCAGTATACTGTAAGCTTGAAAAATATCAGTTGGAAATACACACTTTTTTTTTTTTTTTGAGTTGGAGTCTCACTCTCTCACCCAGGCTAGAGTGCAGTGGCACGCTCACAGTCACCCCGGCGTCGGCCTGCTGAACTCAGGCAATCCTTCCGCCTCAGCCTTCCAATTAGCTGGAACTACAGGCGCATGATACCAAACCCGACTACTTTTTTTTTTTTAATTGTAGATGTGAGGTCTCACCAAGTTGCCCAGGCTGTTCTCCAAACCATGGGCTCAAGCAGTCCCTTCACCTCAGCCTCCCAAAGTGCTAGGATTACAGGCTTAAGCCACCATGCCTGGTGGGAAATACACACGTCCTTTAGATGACTTTTTTTTTTTTAATCGGAGTCTCATTCTGTTACCTAGGCCGGAGTACAGTGGCACAATTATGACTCACCACAGCCTCAACCTACTGGGCTCAGGCAATCCTTCTGCCTCTGCCTCTCAAGTAGTTGGGACTAGAGGCATGCTCTAGGGTACCTGGCTAATTTTTTGTAGAAATGAGGTCTTGCTGTGTTGCCCAGGCAGATCTCAGAGACTTGGGCTCAAGCAATCCTCCATCCTTGGCCTTTCATAGTGCTGGGATTACAGGTGTGAGCCACTATACCTGACCTGAATTTAATTTTTATTTCTTACAAAGTACTTCAAATCCTCAAAAGCAGGGAAATATTTTTGCTAAAAGGATACCAACTTTTCAGTCAGAACTGAAATAGCCCTACTACATGTAAACTATTTTACTTCTGATCAAGGTGAATATTAGGCAATTATGACACTAAAATTTATCATCAGGTTACTTGACTTTAGTAGAATTAACTGAAACATGAAAGACTAAAAATAAGCAAGAAGAAGAATGCTCAGGCAGACCTTAGGACGTATGATGGTTGTATTGTTGTAAGCTTGTGTTTATGCCACTTGTACTTAATAGTCATTGGTGAATTATGAAAACTCTCTCTTTCCACAGAGTACGCTTCATGTCAGTAGAAATGGACAGCAGCAGTTTTATTCAGTTTGATGTGCCCGAGTACAGCAGCACCGTTCTGAGCCAGCTAAACGAACTCCGCCTGCAAGGGAAACTATGTGACATCATTGTCCACATTCAGGGTCAGCCATTCCGAGCCCACAAAGCAGTCCTTGCTGCCAGTTCCCCATACTTCCGGGACCATTCAGCATTAAGTACCATGAGTGGCTTGTCAATATCAGTGATTAAAAATCCCAATGTGTTTGAGCAGTTGCTTTCTTTTTGTTACACTGGAAGGATGTCCTTGCAGCTGAAGGATGTTGTCAGCTTTCTGACTGCAGCCAGCTTTCTTCAGATGCAGTGTGTTATTGACAAGTGCACGCAGATCCTAGAGAGCATCCACTCAAAAATCAGTGTTGGAGATGTTGACTCTGTTACCGTCGGTGCTGAAGAGAATCCCGAGAGCCGTAATGGAGTGAAAGACAGCAGCTTCTTTGCCAACCCAGTTGAGATCTCCCCTCCGTATTGCTCTCAGGGACGGCAGCCCACCGCAAGCAGTGATCTACGGGTGGAAACAACCCCCAGCAAAGCTCTGCGCAGCCGCTTACAGGAGGAGGGGCACTCAGACCGTGGAAGCAGCGGGAGCGTTTCTGAGTACGAGATTCAGATAGAGGGGGACCATGAGCAAGGGGATCTGTTGGTGAGGGACAGCCAGATCACCGAGGTGAAAGTAAAGATGGAAAAAGCCGACCGGCCCAGCTGTTCTGACAGTTCTTCCCTGGGTGATGATGGGTACCACACCGAGATGGTTGATGGGGAACAAGTTGTGGCAGTGAACGTGGGGTCCTATGGTTCTGTGCTCCAGCATGCATACTCCTATTCCCAACCAGCCTCACAGCCAACCAGTGCATCAGAAGCTTTTGGAAATTTGAGTAATTCCAGCCCATCCAGGTCTATGTTGAGCTGTTTCCGAGGAGGGCGTGCCCGCCAAAAGCGGGCTTTGTCTGTCCACCTGCACAGTGATCTGCAGGGCCTGGTGCAGGGGTCTGACAGTGAAGCCATGATGAACAACCCTGGGTATGAGAGCAGTCCCCGGGAGAGGAGTGCGAGAGGTCATTGGTATCCATACAATGAGAGGTTGATCTGTATTTACTGTGGAAAGTCCTTTAACCAGAAAGGTAGCCTCGACAGGCACATGCGACTCCACATGGGAATCACCCCTTTTGTGTGCAAATTTTGTGGGAAGAAGTACACACGGAAGGACCAACTGGAGTACCACATTCGGGGCCATACTGATGATAAACCATTCCGCTGTGAAATCTGTGGGAAGTGCTTTCCATTCCAAGGTACCCTCAACCAGCATCTGCGGAAAAACCACCCAGGTGTTGCTGAAGTCAGGAGTCGCATGGAGTCTCCTGAGAGAACAGATGTGTACGTGGAACAGAAACTAGAAAATGATGCATCGGGCTCAGAGATGGCCCTAGATTCCCGGATGGAAATTCACACAGTATCTGATGCTCCTGATTAAGACGATAAAGAAGTGTACCCAAACAAAGCACATTAATCAATGCATATTTGTGATTTGCTTTGTTGTAATCTTTGATTTTTCCCAACCATCTGGAAATCTCTTGGTCTCTTGGCAGTTTTTCTAAAGTTTTTGGATGGAACACTTCATTGTGTTTATTTTTTCCCCTGCCCTTCCTCCCCAAAGGAGCTCAAAGCATGAAGGGCAGCACATCCAGGGAAAACACAGGCTGACAGTATTCCTCTTTGGCTGAACTCTTAATCCAAAATCTGCCAGTGATTTAGCTATGCCAACTGGTTGACCCTCCACTCTCTGCCAAGAGGCATACTCTTCATTGTGTGTGCTGGCAGCAGTGCATTCTATGAAGAGAGACTAGGATGCCGTCAGCTGACACAAATGGGTAACCTTTTCTAATTTAAAATACCTTCTAGGGAGTAGTTAGATGATTTAAATATATATATAATAAAATGATTATTATATATATAGTATATATACATTCTCAAATTTGATTTTATTCTGGTTGAGGTGAATGTAAGAGGAATATATAATTTAATACAATGTGAACAGGGCTTTTGACTCTGTCTCATCTCTACCTAATATGTTAGGGTTTTGCCCCTTCATTTCCCTTACAAAAGAATGTTAGTAGGTTTTCATATATATTAGTCATTGTGTCCAAAAGCAAGCAAAGCAAATCACAGTGTTCATAGCTCTGCTTCATAACAAATACATAAACCAAATGCCATAAAATTTCTTCAACTCTAGTTGGAAACCGTTTGGAATTTTTGTTAGTTGTCCAGCAGGTAAGCTGGATGGCCTGTGGTGCTGACCTTTTTACATAGTGTAGTGTTGTATTAACCAACCCCAAAGGAGCAGTGGTTTTCAAGGTTTTTACTGGCCTACAAATCTACCTTCATTCCGTACTGTAGAAACATACATACCAGGTAACTAAATCGAATCACTCTCTACCATAAGTTAGTACTCGCGCTAAAGGAAAGGGATTTGTAGTTCTGTCTACAAGATTCTCCAAGCAGTATTGTGGTTTGGTTTTTTTTACTTTTCTTTTTTTCTCTTTTCAAACAGCCAGTTCAGGTGCACAGCAACTTTTTTTACATGCAGTTCCCAGGGAAACTGCAGAACTTGGAATTTGTACTTTTTGTAAAGCTATACTCTATGGGAATTGCAAGCAATATATCTATCTTAGTATTGTGTGTGCTAATGAGAGCCTCAGTGGCTCCCCCACTCTCAGCGTTTCCTGCTTAAGGAACCAACAGTTTAAAAGCCCTCTAAGACACTCTGTGTGTCACCAAATCTGTGTTTGTCACCATTTTTTTGGTCATGTGGTGCTATTTTTATGTTAAGTGTCTTTTAGGTCAGTATAGTTGTAGAAAATGTGAAATCTAATGATAATAGTGAATTACAGTTGTTTTCCTCTCTTGAGTTCATAGCTTGAAAAGAGACCTCAAAAGCATGTACTAGCAAACATATTGCTGTATGAAAACATACCTGAGACCTGCTTGAATAATGTTTTATTAGTACTTTCAGAAATATCTTCAGTTCTGTATTGTGATTACATATGCAAACAGGCTTTACATGATTGCTTTGGTACTGTAGAGTCGCAGAGAGTAATTTGTAAGCAGTTTGGTGATGAGTTTGTGCTGCAGGCTACCCGTGGGGTGTCAGTACTCCAGTCTCTTCGGCTGAGATCCAGGGCTCTGAGCTCCACAACCATTGTCTCTGCTTAGGATAACAGCACAGCCACCTATAAAAAAACAGAAGTGAAAAACCAACTTGAGAAACTCGAAGTTAAAGAAATACAGAAATAGATGTTTGCTGGGTTTTCCATGCTTTTTTGGCTCTTAAAATACCAGTGGTGGATTTTGTTTATTTTTTTGTTTTTGTTTTTAGAAAAAGTCATCAAGCCCTATGTGTGTATTAGCGCCCAGGGGTGGTAGCTGTGCAGTAGCATCTCTTTAGCACACAGGATCTGTTCACATGTGAACTGCTGCGCTACACTTCAGTGTTAACTCCGTACAGATTACACTCTAATCCCGCTGCTCCTGAGGAGCGGCTTTTGCTAAATCGGGTATATATTATGCCTTTTTCCTCGTCAAACTGCCTAAGTAGGGGTTTGTTCTCTCCCTGAAGCACTTGTTCAACTCCTGTTAAAGCCGCGTGCCTCAAGGGGAGGCTGAACCCCAAGTGTTTACCCACTTAAATATTTTCTGGGGTTTCAGGTAAATGTTTGTGATTTTTTTTCCTTACATGAATAAGTTTGGTTTTAATTTTTTTTAAAGAATTAAATGCAAAAAAATTGTGTTGTGATACAAATTAAGTTTGTGACAAGAAATGCCCAAATCTAAGGACATAAGAGGTCAAGCTCAGGGAAGGAACCTCCTCTTCACTCAGGCTTGGGACCTTCTTCGAGGCCTCCAGAGCATTCCGCGGTAGAGACAATTAGGAGGGAGAGTACCTGGGGCCGCCACCTCCAGTGTCCTGGCTCTTGTCGTTGTCCGTCTTAACCTTATTTACATGGAGTTCTTTGTATTTGTGAACTTGTTTAACTGGTTTGAGTTTACCAAAGAGTGACTTATCCAAAATTGTCTTTGACAAAAATATCCATTGCTTTGATTGTACAGTTCAGGTTCAAACATTGTAACGGGACTGTTAAGGGGCAGAAAATTGATTGAGTTTCTCTCTAATAATCATGATTCCACATTTTGCAAGTTCCACTTGCTCCCATTCGTGTTGCTAACACTTTACCCTTTCCACTGCTCGCAGTGTTAAGAATGAATTCTCAAGCCATAACACAGTACTGTAAAGTTCCGCAGGGCTTCGAGGGAGGCAGCGCGTAGGCCAGCACAGAGCTGTGTAGCCTCTCTGAGCACTCGCACTGTCATGCTTTCCAGGGGCGTGACTGGTGAGAGATTAACTCCATTCAGATCTGGCAGCAGCAATTAATTGTGCCTTGCCGCATGAGGATGTGTCAGGAGGATTAACGTGACCACAGAACAGAAACATTCTCTCCCTGAAGTTCACTTCACGTCTCCGCAGACGAAGTACGCTGTGTAACTCCTTAGAGCAACTCTTTTTGGAAAGCAAAGTCCCTATTTCTGTACAGTTTTAGGTTAGGTGTTTCATTTATAACAAATGCAGAAATCAATTAAGATAAAGTGATATGTGAAGAAATCTTTTACAATAAAGTATATCCTGAATTCATATAGGCTTGTTCATAATTGAGTCTCTTCTTGAGCTACCTTTTCAATATTAGACAATGTGAAGACAGTGACAGCGTCCTTTTCTAGAGATGTTTAGCCTGTTATTACAAACTGTGAAGACAAAGAATTTTATACTTTTACTGATGTTTGTGGTTTTAAACAAGTTCTTTTCATTCTAATCAGTTCTCTACCCTCTTAATTTCTACTTACAGCTGTAAATACATTTAGAAATTATATTTGTAAATACAGTATATGGAGACAAGTTAATTTTTTGGTCAGTGGAAAGCCTCCCAACCAATTGGCTCTGCCTTGGCAGTTGTGATTGTTTTGTTTTGTTTTAGATTTTTTTTGTTAAACAACAGAAAGGATACTGTCGGTTCACTGTTAAGCAGAATATACTGTAGAACTAAATTGATAATTTTTGAATCTGAGCATGAGTAAATGTCTTTTCTAACAATAGTAGTTATAACTAATTCTGTTTTTCCCTATGCCCAGACCATAGGCCTGCATATTTTGTGTGTGGTTTTGTTTTTATTTTTGTTTTTACAGCCTAGACTCTAGTAAAAATTTGCAGGAACACAAAACAAGGGCTAGGGGGAAAATTATCTATGTGAATGAGCTTTACTTTAAAGAGATCAATGTATTTTATTTTATCAACTTTTTCTATTAGTTACTGTGATTTTTTTTGTTGTTGTCATTTTTGTTATTGTTAAATTCTATAATGGTTTCCTGTGAAGCCTCCACTGAAAGGGACTCAAATATGCAACACCTAAACTATTTTCCAAGGGCACACGCCCCTTGAATGGTGCTTCTAGACTGGTCAGGGTTATTTATTAAATTTTATATATGAAAGTATTGGGGAATTATGTAAATTCTTTATATGAAACTATCTAGTTCATAAATCATAGATTTCATATTACTCAGTGCAACTGAACTAAAAGTTCAGAAAAGTCATTCACATTGTTCCAAATTTGTAATGGTTGTCACACATCACATACGTCTTTTTCAGTAAGTGCCAGAGTGTTCCCACTGTTTCTGTCCAGTGCTTGACTTCTTGGCCCAGAAGAGAACCTGTTTTCTCTGGTTCTCTCCCTGGGTCTGGCACAGACAGGGCTATTGTAATTCTTGATTAAGTCCTGGAGCCAGCCTTGCTGGACGCTCCTTGTAGCAGATTCAGTACACAGACCTCTTGCTGCCCCTCAGTGACAAGTATGCTGTGAATTCAACCTTTGGACTTGCTGCCCAAGCCTTTGGTTGCTGCCCTGGTTATTGTAAGAGGCAAACTTACTTTGTTTGAGAATGACCATTTTCCAAATGTGAAAACCATCTCTCTCACCACTTTATTAGTAGGGCTAACATTTTTTTCCGTTATAAATGGTTGAGCAATTTGAATGACTTAACACAGTGTCATTATCTTGCAATATAAACTGGTAACCTCACAACTCCACACTTCATCACCATATGAAGTAAATGAAGCTAGCTAAGCGGATGCTGTATCAACTAGTAACTTGCCATTAAGGATTATTTTATAGCATGAATTTAAGACTATTTATTCAAATGATATTTTACTCTTGTATTCACTTTGTTTTAGATTTGTGACATGAATATTTCAGTGCTGCTTAATTTTGTTCTGAATTCTTGTTTCTTGCTTGTAAATGGCTTTTTTATGGTATAAATAAAGTCAATGGACATTGCTGTTTGTAAATAAAAATGCTGCTAGAGCAAATGTGCTGTGGTCTCCTTGGCCTCCATGCGTGTCACTGGCTCTGCCAAATCTTTGCTGTGTTATAGTTTCTGTAACTGCTGTTTTTGAAAGTTAGGGTTTCATATGAAGCTCTTGCGCCACTAGTGTGCTGAGAAGAGAAAGGAGCAGGTGTATTTCGGTCCTTTCTCTTGTGTGGTAAAGACTGCATCATCGGGGTCCCAGTCTGCACTCAGGCTTCTCCAGAATGAACTGCTGGTGAACTCTCCCCATGTGCCTGCTGAAGTGCCTCTTGACTCCCTTTTATGTGTCTTGTTCAGTTCTCCAGAGTGTGGAAGTTGCATGGGCTATTTCTTCTGTCTCCACTAAGCCAGTTAACTCCCTTCCTTTTCCAGGTTCCAACTCAGGAGCCCTTGTTCCTCTAGTAACTTACCCCCTAGGTCAGGCGCCTCTGAAATAGGGTCATTGTCATGAACTGTGTTCCTGCCCTTCCCTTTGGAACACCTATTTCCAATTGGATATCCATTAATGAGACTATTATTCAGCTAATATTTTTCCCTCTAGCCTGTAAACTCGCTGACAGCAGTGATCCTAAACTCTCCCCTGAGTATCCTCAGCACCACAGTAAGTTGCTCAGCGAGTGTTTCAGCGAATGAGCACATGCATGCCTTCTGGAGGGTCACACAGGGCAACATGGCTGGTATGCAAGTGGGATTAAACTTGCCTCCTGTAGAGCTACGAGCCACCTTGCTCCTTGCTCATAAGTAAGGGCTGCTATGAAGCAAGTTCTCTGTCTTCTCTGTGGGGCTCCTTTTTGGTCAGGTGGGCAGTGAGATGGTGCACAATGTGAAAGATCAATGCAGGAACAAGCATCTTTGCTATCCGGGATCTGAGAATTCCTGAGGTATGCCAGGGGGATAATGGAGAAAACTTACTGACTTTGGAGGTCTGATTTCCAGCCCTGCCTCTGACTGACTCTAAGCAAGTCACTCGCCCTCCTTTGCCCCATTTTGGTGTCTTTGATATGTGAGGCAGTGACTTCTGATAAGTTTGCTTATTCCCTAAAGCTAGGAAAGCCCAACGCCAGGAATCCGGGATGAGCCTCTCTGGCAGGGTTAGGGGAATACCCTAAGGGGTGAGCCCTGGAAATGGGAGTACCAACTAAAGCCAATACGCTTAGTTGGAACAGATGTAGACTGTATTGAGCTGCATTGCCGGCAAAGGACATTGGCAGTAGTTGGCGCTTTCATTTGTCCTGATGTCAGACCTTTCTTCACCTTGGTTTCTTCCAGTTATAATTTTTTTTTTTTTTTTTTGAGTTGGAGTCTCACTCTGTCACCCAGACGAGTGCAGTGGCTGCTCCCGGCCACCGCAGCCTCGACCTGCTGGGCTCCGGCTATCCTTCTGTCTCAGCCTTCCGAGTAGCCGGAATCCAGTTATAATTTTATACAATTGTTGGCAAGCCCATTTGGCTTCAGGGATGCTTATGATGTCCTTTATGGTGTCAGAGGACACCATGAATCCCTGATTGCTAGTTGTCATCTCTGTTCTCTGGACCATGCCCTTCAAAGCCTCCCAAGCCTCAGTGGCACTTAGTAACATCTCCTGTGATGTCTTCTTTTGGTTTTTGCAGCAGGTCTACCTCGCATACCTTTTGCCAGTAAATAGGGCTCCAAACTTAACACAAATGGCAGAAAGAGCCCACTGCAAAGGAAATGCGTTACCAGAACATATCAACTTGGGATCATGTGTGGAGTCCTTACTGTGTGGTTGCTGTGTAGTGCTCGGCCAAAGGTGTACTCGCTGTTCAGGTACGCATTGGTCAAGAGTGTGCTTTTATTCTAAGTGAGGCGGTGGGAGTAGGGGAACCCTAAAGTTTGTATTAACAATAGATTATAACGCAAACACCCACAGGATGGCCTGCCTGAGCCTGCAGAACAGAGCTGTCCCCCTTTCCATTCTGAGACAGTAAGTAGGTCCCAGGCTCTTGTCCTTGAAACAGGTTGCTTACTGGGGCTCTTGTTCCTGTCTCTGCCCCAGTGGTACTTGGTTCTCATCAGGTTGGGGTCTGGCAGGGCCTTGGGGATAGCAGCGTTCCCCTGGAGACAGCTAGCCAGGTGATAGCAACGCTCCCCTGGAGACAGCTAGCCAGCTAGCCAGCTGTTGGCTGTGCTGTTCACTTCTGCTAGCAGGTCTTTCCCCTGTGGTGCAAACAAGCCCACCTCAGGCTTTGTTGGGGAGGCAGTGAAGCCTGCGCTCAAAGCAGTTGTTTCTTCTTTTTGGGCTTAGCCTTGGTGCTATGATCAGCTCTGGACACTCTTCTGTGTGTCCCCAAAAAAGATTTACCCCTGATGTGCTTTCCTGGGCTACCCTGGGCCCTGCTATGACTACATGGCCCAAGTCTGAGCCTTCCAACTAGAGAGGATCCTATGGGTTACAGGTTTGCCCTCATGGCCTTCAGGTGCCATGTGTGTGCATGCGTGCACACGTACATGCACATGCACATGCACATGCATGAATAAAAGGACAAGCCATTTTGAATTCTATCTCCTTCCCCAGAATGCTGGAAATGGAAGAGAAAGACCTTTGCACTTTCCTAACAATGGAAAGGGACCTTACAGAGCTACCCCCACCTGCCAACACTGGGACTCCTACAGTTGTTCACACAAGTAATCTCTGGTTATGGAAACCGGCAGCTTTCCAAGGGACTCTGCACATTTGACAGCTTTGGATGATACAAAGTCCTTCCTTATCTCGAGCCTCAAATCTCTCCCTGTTCTACTCCAACTGCAATATGTTTAAAATATTCAGTGACAGCATTCCCATCTCTGTCTAGCCCTCTCTTTGGGCTTCTGGAGGCTAAATGTGACTCTGGACTATTGTCTTTTCTCTAGAGTCGACGCTGTGGGGACATCCCCTTTCTGTCCACCTGCCTCCATTTTGGGGCTTTAACAAATACTGCTGTGGGACCTGTTTCTGATAGGATTTTGTTGGAACCAAGGCAGTGAAACCCATAACTTGGAGGAACACTTCTTTGGCAAGCAAGTTGCTTTTATGTGACTTATTTCAACTAGCCCGATGATCATTACATGTCTGGGAGCTGTTTTCAGGGATTTTTCTCATATTTTTTTTTTCTCCTTGGCCCCTTCCCTCTCTCTTCTTTTCTCTCCAAATATTAAGGTGAGAATCAGAAGCCAGCCATCACCTTTACTGTGAGAGATCTGGGCTTTGAGTGTAGACTCTTGCATCGCATCCTCCTTCTGACCCCAGGGCTCATGAGGGTCCCTTTGAGAGCTTCCTCCCCCTGTGAGCACTGGTTCTGTCCGCTCTCCAAGGTGCTCTGGCTTTCTCAGGGAGCTGAGCTTCAGCTCACTGGCGCTGGTGCTACCTCAACTAGGAAAAGGGATTCCTGCCTTGCTTGTGTGTCATATTTGCAGAGGGAAGGAACTTGAGCCAGTTGCTGCTTCCATCCACTTTCTCATTGCCCTTTCATCACAGCTGATTCTCCATACTCTGGCCTTGCTAACTCCTTGATCCTGGTCGTGCTGGGGGTGAAATGGGAATGCTATTAGGTTTCCATAGCTAAACTACTAGTTCCTTTCTTTTCCTCCACTGCGTTGCCCCCTTTTCCCAGAATGGGCCTCCAGGGTTGAAAGACCTCACTTCCGACTGTGATCAGGGATGGCCAACTGCTGCAGGCCCTGTGAATATTAGAGACTTCCAGCCTGAAGATTAGCCCCACACCTCTCTACCTATAATTGTACTCATATAATGTGTCAGGCACTACCTGGACATAATGATCTAGCCTAGATGGAAAGGTTGAGGGGTCCCCTTCCTGTGGGCTCTTTGTGGATAAAGTACAAAGTACCTCACTGATTTCCTACAGCGGCCAGCAACAGGGCCTGATAACCCTGAGAACTCTCCGAAGGCAGAGGTTCCAGGAAGAGAATATTCTGTGTTAGGACTTGCCCTGGGCACAAAGGTCCTGGAGGGCAGAACTCAGGGGAGCCGGTGAACACATAAGTGGAGGCCTCAGCATAGGGCTAAAATTGCTTAGGATTCATTTTAAATTCCCTTGAGAACCTATATCCTACTGGAGGGTGGAGGAACCAGGAAAGACCTAGTCAAAGGGAGGAGGCCCAGCTAGCTGAAGAGGCAGGACCATGAGACAAAATTCAGTTGAGTTAAATCATTAATTGTAGAAAAATGAGACTGAGCATAGTGGCTCAAGCCTGTTATCCCAGCACTTTGAGAGGCCGAGGTGAGAGGATTGCCTGAGCCCAGGGGTTTGAGACCAGCCTGGGCAACTTGGTGAGACCTTGTCTCTATAATATATCAATAAATTAACTGGGCGTGGTAGCATGTGCCCATAGTTCCAGCTGCTGGAGGATCACCTGAGCCCAGCAGGTCGACGCTGGGGTGGCTGTGAGCGTGCCACTAGACTCCAGCCTGCGCAACGAGTGAGACTCCAATTCAAAAAAAAAAGAAATCATAAACAAACTAGTTATTGTTTTTTATTTGTTTAAGGAGGTGGAGACTTACTTTTGTAACAGAAAATATATTTTTAAGGATAAGGCAAAAAAATGTTAAGGGGAAAAATAGATTTGACTATATACAATGTAAAATATATTTAATAAAAGGAAAACAACAAAACAAAACAACCAAAAAACTTGAAAATGTAAAGAATAAGTTTGGGGACAAAAGCCAACTTTGCAACATGTAGAAAAATAGCTTTTAAAATTAATAGAAAAATAGGAATACTCCAATTTCAATTGGGAAAGGACATAAGAAGCAATCTATAGAATTCTCAAGGCTAGTAAATACATAGTAAAGACATTTTACCTTACTACAGAGAAATTAAAGCAATAATGAGAGACCATTTTCAACCTATTCAGTTGGCAATACCCAGCATAGACGAGGGTGGGACCTTCGTATCCTGCTGTTGGGAATATATAGTTTCCAAATTTTAAATGTGTATTCCTCTTGATACAGTGGTACTACTTTTAAGAATTCAACCTAGGAAG